GAACTAAGCTGAAAATATTCTGTGGGGAAACAACCGAAACAAGAGTCTACAAACAGTTGATCACTTAATACTCTGATTAAGTGTTTTGAACGCTAAAATGATTTAGTTATCATTCATTATTTTCTCTGACAGCTGTTTTAATACAAACAACTGTCAGATGCAATCTAATTGTTCTTACTTTCTCTAATTTCAAGATGAAATTCAGCGAATATCATCTTAAACAATGCTTATGTATTTATTTAAGACAGTAATTCTTCTGTCTTTCATGAAGTTCTCTCGAAAGTTAATCTGCCTAAGAAATATTTTTAACTCTACATTTAAAGAACCTTGCAGAGTATACTCAATTCTGTTTTTACATGTAATTTACACGATATTTATTTAAGACAGTTTATAAAAAGAAAATAAAGTTTTTTTTATGCGGTTTATTTTAATCATTCAGGATTCAACTGATGTCTTTTTAAAAAATTTCATCTGAACCTAATTCTGATAAAGTAACTTTACTTAAGATGCTTAAAGTTTACATCTATTAGAAAGACTACACTTACCATTAAATTTTTTAATATTTTAAAAATAAACATTTTCAGTACAAAAAACGCCAAAATAAAAACTGCATTAGCATAATTTGCATAACAAGTATCTTCCAGTCAATGCTCTAAAAACACCAAAGATCTATGCTCTAAAATCAGCAAAGATTCTATCTTTTGCGATGTAACCTTTAACCTAAGTCACATGCCGTTATTCTAGTTATTGCCTTAACAATCTTAATTAAATCACTTATCTATTCCATCTAAAAAAAATAAATTATACTGATAATGAAGGGAAAAAATGTAACACAGAAGAATTTAACTAATACCGATAATAGAAACTTACTTCATTTGGAATGACAGAGCTTGAACAGACACTGGCATCGAGTAAAGGTTAACAAGTGTTTTTTGGCGAAACTTCCGCATTTATAATTAATAAAATATGGATATTCTACGTGGACTGATAATTAATAACAAAAATTTCCTCCTTTCAAAAATTTTCGAGAATTTTAAAAAGGTGTCTAAAACATTTCAAAAATCTAATATTTTCCTGCGAATTTCAAATTCTTTTTTGCCTTTTCTAATTTTTATTATCATTGTTGGGTTTATTAAATAATTTTAATATTGCTTTCAATAGAATTCACGTGAAAAATACAATAATAGTAGAATAATCTTGATTCAAGATCCAAACCAAACTTAAATTACTCTTCAAGATTCTAAGTCACATGCCGTTATTCAAATGAGATTTCTCATATTTTTCACTCCCCGCTATTGTCAAATAACTAGGCTGGCGACTTGCTGTCGTACATCAAATGTATTGGTAAATTTAGAGACGAATAACAGCTCACACAGAAAAACGTTTCTAGACGTTGTTTCCCAATTTTAAGAAAGAATTACGTAAATCTGAAATCACGTCATCTGAAAAATGCAAGCAATGTCTGAAAAGAAACGATTTTATGCGAACAAAGATCTCTGATGCTAGTATAAATCATGTAATTAATCATGAGAACAAAAATTTGTAGTTCAAAATTCTTGTCTCAAAAGTTTCGCGAACTTGCCAGTGTCACAAAAGTTTTGCAACATTTGACGATTTATTCCAAGATTGCCATTTTAGTTTTTTCCTTCCGCAAAGTTGCTATCGTAAGAATACCGCTATACAATACATTTATGCTTTTCATATCATCGTAATTGAGTAAAATGTATGTTCAAGTAGTCAAACGCCCAATTAAAATATAATTAATAATTTTTTGCGATTTTTCGAAAACAACTCTTTTTTTTATTACTTTGTGCAGGTTTTTTGGGGTGTCTGTAGACAACTTTCTTTTTTCCCCTACATAAGCTATTTTTTTACAGTTTTTTTTCTGCCAGATTTTTTTTAGCAGGAATCCATCTATTGCGTAAAAGCAAAACTCCTTTTAAAAAAACACTCTAAAAAAAGAAATACAGAAGGTTTATGGTAAGAGTGAATTAGAGACATCCAGAAAAAATTCCTGGCACTTTGCCCTATAGCCTAGCAATATACGAGTACAACACTGCGGACTATTATAAATTCTAAACAAACGCTATTTTCTTAGAGCTGCATCTGATCGTTTGAGTTATGCTGCAGAATTCCGTCATCTAATTAAAATCTTATTCGATAACAAATGCTTATGTCGAAAACAATAAAGCTCAAAGCTATCAGAGTTCTATTGCAAACGATGCCGGGTCCAGCTAAAATCAATAAAAATTGTTTCAAAATCAAACCGGTTTTCTTTTAACTTAAATAATTCTCAAATTGCATTTTTTGTCTTAATATTTATATTACTTCTATATAACAATGTAAAAAACTAAAATATTTAAAGTATGTTTTTGCTCAATTATTGGTAGCCAAAAATGCAAGCAATTTCTGAAAAGAAACGATTTTATGCGAACAAAGATCTCTGATGCTAGTATAAATCATGTAATTAATCATGAGAACAAAAATCTGTAGTTCAAAATTCTTGTCTCAAAAGTTTCGCGAACTTGCCAGTGTCACAAAAGTTTTGCAACATTTGACGATTTATTCCAAGATTGCCATTTTAGTTTTTTCCTTCAGCAAAGTTGCTATCGTAAGAATACCGCTATACGATACATTTATGCTTTTCATATCATCGTAATTGAGTAAAATGTATGTTCAAGTAGTCAAACGCCCAATTAAAATATAATTAATAATTTTTTGCGATTTTTCGAAAACAACTCTTTTTTTTATTACTTTGTGCAGGTTTTTTTGGGTGTCTGTAGACAACTTTCTTTTTTCCCCTACATAAGCTATTTTTTTACAGTTTTTTTCTGCCAGATTTTTCAAAATCCTAAATCTTTAAGCATATACCTAACTTTTAAGAATTCATTATTTATACTCATAAGGTGTTCTTTTACTTGCGCAACCGATTATACAAGGTTACTAAAAAAGAGTAATTTACTTCCCCGTAGCGCAGAGTTTACTATCAAAAATATTAAATCAAAGATTTCTTTGTTTTATTACCTTCAACGGCAAAATGGCATTACATTAGCATCCATTCTACAATTAAAAAGTGACTTTCTCTGCGCCAATTCCACAATAAATTTTTCTGCTTCTAATGTTTTGCTCCCACTTTTATTGCTTCAAGATTTATTGTCAACTAGTATATCAGAAAATGTTTTTAGAAATATTTATTTGAAAATTCACATCTTAACGCATTCCATTATCAACAAGAGTAGAGTGTATTATTCGTTGTTCATATTTCAACAGTTGTTAAAATTACATTTCTAAGCTAAATAAATTACGAAAACTCCTAATGATGGAAAGCCAAAGTTGCTCTTAAGCATATACGTGCAAACATATGACTTTATGTTTAAAAAAATTTCATGCATTTAAAAAAAATTAATGCATTGACACGTAACTAGAAATATTTTAGTGCAGTCGCAATGAAATACGCAATCATTTTCTACATTACAGTTATTCCGAAATAAGGATATGAGCATTTTTTCCTGATACAAATAAATTTTTAATTTGTTTCTGCAAATGGAAATCAGAAGTCTAAAATTCTCCTTTTGTAATATAATTTATTAGTTAATTCAGGGGCTTAAAGCTGTGAAGTAGCACTAGATAAATATATAACAATGTAAAAATGTAAATTACATTGTTATATATATATAAGACATGAAGAGTATTAAAGAATTCATTTAATTAACTAAAACATTATTTTAATTTTAGTAGAAATAAATGAATTGTAATTATTCCTTGCTTCCCTCCTGAAATTTCTAGGACATAAGTAGAATGCTTGCTATTAGTGCAAAAGCAACATCGAGAATTATGGCAGAGGCATATAAATTACAGTTAAGCCGATTTCATTAATCTTCTTGCGCGCTGCAACTTTCAAACACCACAAGCAGTATATTACTGATTTAACTTGAATTTGCGATTCTTAATACATTGCATATAACACATGTTAATGAAAGTTACCTACTATTTATATTCCTTTTTTTTGGAAAAGTATATAATGTTAAAACATTTCGAATCATTGCTTCAAAAGTGGATTCTCTGATATTTTCTATTCGCAATTGCAATATACCCCTCTTAGAACTAACATCACGGAATAAAACCGTTTCACTTGACAATGAATTAACTAAATACAGATCATTCATCTTTTCACTAAATTGGCCACACAGTTTTATAACTCGTATAGTGAACTCTTTCGTGACAACCACTTGATCATCACCCCTCTAAGAAGCTTGTTTTCACAAAACATCAAAATCTTAGGAAGACATACGTAAACATTCATCTTTTCACTAAATTGGCCACACAGTTTTATAACTCGTATAGTGAACTCTTTCGTGACAACCACTTGATCATCACCCCTCTAAGAAGCTTGTTTTCACAAAACATCAAAATCTTAGGAAGACATACGTAAACATTTTGAAAAGAGTTAATTGCTTTTTATTATATGAACGTGGTTATTTATGGCTGTAAATAGTTTGAAGTCAGAATTTGCGCCTTTTAAATATGGCGGAAATATTAACTTTTTACAGATTTGCAAAACCTTTTAAAATTTAACAGATTATAAAATCAGTGTAATTTGTTTTCTCATTTTCCCTTTTAGTTTTTATCTAAACTAAACTTAACGGCACAAACAGCCCATAGAGTGCCATGGCCGGCAGTGCTCTGATATCTGCTTTTTAAACTTTTCCTTTGCATAAAAATGCCTTTTCCTCCTTATTATGTAAAGATTCATTATTGATGACAACACATTTTATGTGTTCTATCGAAGTACAATTTTTTCATGAATATTCCTTCACAGTATTAATATCAAGAAGGAGAAAAATGCACAATTTAAAAATATGGAAACCCATATTCATCGATACTCATATAATACGTTTAGTACTATTTTATCAGTATTTAGGGATCTGCAATTAATACAGAATTTGTTTTATGCGACGTATATGAAAAAATTATGAAATTAAATAAATTTTTAAACATACCACGGAATCTATAATCTTTGTGGCTTTGACATTATATCAGTAGTTATCTGAAAAGAAAATAAAGCAAATATTTTAGAAAAACTTTAAAAATTAGCAAATATTTTTTACGGTGCTTCAATTGTTTTAATAAAATTGGTTAAAAGAAGAACATGGCAGAAAATTATATTTTAAAATTACACTAATTATTAGCAAAGTATATTATAGTTCAAATTCAACCTAAAACATTTCAGCAACTTCAAAAAAGAAATCGTTTTAATTATTGAAGAATTTCATACCTCTCTCTCAGTTACGAAAGAATATTATAAATGCAGATGCATATGGATTCACTTACAATCTGAAGTCAATAATTTCTCGTAATTGAATATTTTAACTTACTGCCCTCTAATAACTATCTTAATATTAATTGCTTTAGGTATATTAGTTATAGCTTCTTAATTATAATGCTTAAAATGAACTGTTATTATAAAATAAATAAATAATAATTTTTATACATAATTATGAAAAGTTTACCGTTAACTGATTCAAATTCATAATCATATTTCAGAGTTAGGCAAAATTTAACCGCAGATTTACATTAGCTTTACAATAACATATCAGTATAAAACAATTTTATACATTTTTAGCTTTAATATTAAAGCACTGGTTAATTCTGAATTTTTAAATGGCATTCTTCATTCTTATCTCCCATAATTAGGACCATCTACTATAGCCTAACAATTCTAACAAAAAATATTGAAGTCTTCCTCAATAATAGGGAATGATAAGCAAAACTGAAAGATATGCAGAATATTAATAGAAATATGTTAGGAAGCATTTCATTTTAGAGAGAAGAAATATTCCTGCTGCATTTAATTTTAGGAAGAAAAAATATTAATTTAAATATTGGTACGAATTAATACAGGCCCCCTTTTTCTTTTTTAATTTCTTGCAAAATTACTGTAAATGACAGTTTAGCATTACTGGGTGCAAAACATCATGATTAAAAGTTCGTTATTCTACAGAGGACTGCATCATTCTAGGCATACTGAGCTTTCTCCTACAAAATTATAACTCAGCATGCAAGTCAGCAAAAATGGTGGCTCGGGACGTGAAGGAGATAGGAAGAAAAATGAAGTAAATTATAATAATAGTAACGAAACTAATAAAAAATTTTATAATACATTTCTTGACGCTCAATTTAATAATTGCTTAATTACTTAATCTTCTGTATTGCCTTTTTTAACTATGTTAAGGACTTGTTTCTAAAGAGGTCGTTTATTTTTGCTTCTTTTACGAAAACGCAAGTGAATAAAGTGAAGTGTATTTTACAGAAAGTCATACAGAGGTGAAATTATGGGATCGCATAAGTTTAAAAAATAGTAAAGATATTCTGTGTCTTAAGATCTCCAAAAACCTCCAAAAATTCAGGCGAGATGGGGGTCCTCGCTTCATATACCCTCCATTGAAAATGAATCTACTTTATATATTATGAAACATCCAAAAAGTAACTAATACACGTAAAGTTCTCATTTTAATTGGAATTTTCTATAATTTTTTTTTCTACTAAGTGGGAAAAAAAAGGTAGTGCCTCTTCGATTAACTACTATAAAAGATAATAACGTAATACGCTATTATATCTCACATAAAAAAATCGTTACATTGCTGTGAATAAATTCTTCGAAAATTATATGCATCAAAAATCTCTTGCAGAAACATTGTGAAATGTTTTCAATGCGTGCACACACAAATACAAACACGAGAATAATACAGTTTTATGTAAATAACAAAACAAAATAAAAATCGAAATAATTTCAGTCTGAATTATTTCGATTCAGACCGATAAAATAATTATTCTATTCTACACAAAAAATTATTTAGTCATAGTTAATTATATTACACATAAATAAGCTACATTTTTAATATCGTATAAATCTTAAATCACAGTTCCCAATCATTTTCTGATATCGACGACTTTAAAAAAATGTTTTTTCATCTATCCCCTTACATTTTTATCTACAATATACAGTGTACACCATATAATAATTAGACTAAGAATGTGGCAGTTCTGAAAAAGTAGTTTATTAGATTCACGTTTTACTATTTTTTTAATTATTATTATTTACAACTTCACAAATATAAACACGCTTTAAGAAACAAAATCACAGGTTCTAATTGAATAAAAATTCGATTTTAATTAACGTGATGGCTACGCTTAAAGTACTGATAGAACTTTTCTGGGAAAAGGAATAAAACTGCTTAGCTTAATTCTTAAATCGTTTCATTCAAAAAGTATTCAGCCTGCTTCTTCTTGTCCGTAATACGCTGGTGACTAGACTAAAGCCTGTTTCTACTAGTTCAGAAGACAGAAGTCAATAATGTTGGTTCAGTAAACAACCTTGGGATATTTCTCTGTACATTCTATACCTTAGTATACATTCCATAACCATGTATTTTGAATAAGACGCGTGCTTGAACATCCTCCTTGAGTGCAAGCAACTCGTCTAGCTTCATAATATCAAGATCAAATATCAGTTCATCGGTTCTCTGAAACGTGCTGGCACATTTAAATTTGAAATGTCTGGTAAGGGAATATTAATAATTCTTTTAATTTTGCAAGTAGCTTTTATACTTATGTTCGGATGAAATTTTGCGTTCTTAGTAATTTTTGGTTACATATTCTCATGTTCCTGCGTTTTCCTTTTTTATATTGCTCTTATTGCATAAAAATGTATACATTATAAGAATATTATTTTTATATTAATTATATTTATTTATATGATTTCTTCCTTATTACATGTAATGGCTTTATCAAAATAATAATTAATTATCAATTTCATTAATATTTTTTGTGATCAATGAGATTTCGATTATGCTGATGAACTTCCGGCGCATATTCGGCTGCCGACCCTCAATCAACTCTTTGATCATCAATTATCCCTTTTAAAATTTCATCGATCCTCCAGAAGGTCAATACTGACATACCGTAGGGAATCTTTGTCTTAAATTTATAATGCAATAATTTTGATGACAGTAGACTAAAAAAGATCGTTGATAAGCTTATATGCCTCGTACGCATATATAAAGAATAAATGTATTTGGAAAAGAAATGAGTGTGCGGTATAACTATGAATTAATTACAGTAATTTTTAACAGAAAGTGCGGCAACTAAATTGAAATTCATTTTACTTTTGAATGTAAGCGAAAATGCACTTGTTACTCATCTCTCATATGGGTATCACACTTCTATAGTTCATTTCTCATATTTTCTTTTGTTAGTCTGAAGAACCTAGGAATGCAAGTTCTTTAGTGTCCTTACCGAGGGTTTTATAGGCTTTCATATTTATAATATTTGTTTATTGGCGCCATTTCAGTTCTGTAAAAGAAATATGATATTGGAATGTTTACATTTAAGTTCAATATCTTTTATAAAAAATATTAACAGGTGATGTAGTTAAGAAAAAAATGTCTGATCATCTGGATTGATCATCAAACACTATTTTATAACAGCAGAATGTTATTTATTCTATATATTATATACTCAAAATATTGAAATTTGAACAAGTAAATTTTTGAAAAACCTATGTTTTGCCGTTCTGCACTACATAAATATATTTTAATGTGTCTCAAATTTGTAGTTTAGTTTAAACGTCATATCAGTATAGCTAAGACTCTTAAACACAATAATTAATTACCAGATATTCTATAAAACAAATAAAAATACAGGTGGAATCTGTGACATTTTTCTTCCTCGACACTGAACTTCAAAACTGTTAACACAAATCCATAGTTATTGCCTTTATTATTTAGTTTTATTCTTTTAAATCCACCAAATTCCTTTAATAGTATTACCCCAAATAAAACTTAGTTCTTGAAACAATCCCTAACTTAGTAAACTTTCTTTAGTAGCTCTCTTGCCGGTTTAGTTCCTCGTTTCAAGTTTTAAGAAATAAATTTACAATTCCATTTACTTTTTGCTTTCATTGATTGTTATTCATATAACTTTTATTATTTTTGTTTTTAACTTTGCACATACACTTCGTGAGCCATGTCTACTAAAAATAATTTAATAATGATTTATTTACCTTTTGCTTGCAAGAAACAAATGTTGTGTACACATGTCTTCTACAGTGGAATTAATTTCTTTCAGTTGAGAAATGAAGTAAACAACCAGCTGAATCGTAGATATGACAAAATAACAGTCACAGAGAGACTCGCTAAGTTGTCTCTTCGTCATTTCAACACAGATTAAGAATAAGAAGGTAAAAGAAAATATTACTACGGCACACTAGTTTTCCTACTTTATTGCCGCTGTTTTTCCGCCCTAGTGACAACAGGTACCGACAAAAAATAGCACTGGCAACTCTTTGAAGGAGTTGACCCGAATCTCGATTTCGCCAAAAGGCTACAAGAAACAGAAACAGCCGCCTACGGATCGCAAAGTCCGATGAGGAAATTGCACAACACTTGGCAACCTGGGTTGAGGAAATACAGCGCATGCGCGCAGTCATCACCCTACGTCATAACCGCCGAACGTCGCAGACGGCGGAACCGAGGGGCTTTCCATACATGGTAGCTTTGCTGTTTTACAGTAGATAGCATTTGTATTAAAACCGGTAGTTTTAGAGGCGTGGTCGTGGGAGATAGGTATAGGTAAGTGAGGAGACAGACTGTAGACGGTTTTGGGTCTTCTTGAAGCTTACCTGACCTTGCATTTCATTTCAATGGCCTGCTACAATGCATATAAAACCAATATTACAAGGATCGAAATCTATTTGGCACTTAATTTTAGTGTAGTTTAGATTTAAAAAAGGTGGGGAATAGAAAATAATATAAATTGATATTCATAAATGAAAGAATGAGCTATATATATAGATATATACAGAGATAGTAGATAGATAGATAGGTTCATAGCATAATCAAAAATCACAAGTAAAGCACGTAATCAGCAATAAACGTATTTATGTAACATATGTTGCATTTTACAGTGAATAATTTATTATACACGTTTTTAAAGACGCATTACGCGAAGACAACAAGGGAAATGGTTCTATATGTTCAGCTACAACTTATTAATGTTTTTAGCATCTTCATTAATAAAAATTTATGAACGACAAACGGAACAAACTAGTTGCCTTAAGTTTAAATTTTCAAAAACATCTATGAATTAATATTTAAATCAATACGCTCTCTCTGAAATATCGCTCCAACAGTGGCCGAGTGGTTAAGACCACTGTATACTAGCAGTTCGACCTAGTTTGGATTTGAACTCAGGCAAACGGGTTAGCTGCATGGTTGGTTTTCGCAGTTTTCCGTGTACGTGTTCCGTTCATGTGTAACGTGAATACGAGCCACTTTTTCTCAGAAAGGTCCTCTACGAAGGCATTACTCATTTCAGGCAAATAGCTCCCTTAATATGAGTTGAATTTGCCACATTCAAACAACCTAACCTAATCTCTGTATGATATCATAAGACAGTGTAAATCTTTTGGGTTATGAATTGATATGTAACCCTGATGTAAGCAGTTACAGTTTGAAAACATATTCTGAATACTGATTAATATCTTACATACAAGGCAATTTTAAGAAATATATGAAACATAATGCTTTAATTAATTAATCCAAAATTTGACAAATTACAGTCATTTAGAATACAAAAGCTGAGCATCAAAGAAATAATAAAGTAAAATAATATACTTTTGCTCATTATTTTATTTTTAATGCCTACAGTTGACCTTGTATTACCTTAAAGCTGATTTATTTAGAACGTTTTATTACAGTTTTGGATAAACCATACATTCACTGTAATTTTTAATTCTCATATAATACATCTTTTTCCATTAATTACTTATTTCAGAGTTTTGCGACATTGCGTTATAACTTTATTTCCTTTTAAATTCGGTTAACCTGCGTTTATCTCTTTGCATATGTAATTCTTATTCTCTCAAGTAGAGTCATAACATTAATTCTAAGCGACCGAATTCATTTAAGTTTTTTTAACAAGCAATATACAGAAGGTGAAATGCAATTTCAAGTGCCTTGTAAATAAAAAGTATAATAACACATGATTTTTCAGCGATATTATTCTATTAAATAATCTTTCATAACTTTAAGTTCACTTCAGTCTACAATCCAGTGGCAAATTCAGCGCAGCGGAACAAAGCAAGCTGCTTTGTTCCCGGTTGTCTGAATGATCAGACTGCATGAGACCTTCGTAGCTTTCCTTACGATCAATGTAATTAAGTACCTATTTTTTTTTGGAACGCCTTCCATGAAAGCATTCATTGCGTATGGGAATGTTTTGCTGTAATTAATTAGCTATTCTCACTTCACCTTTTTTTCTTTTTAACTGCTACATATCACAAATACTTTATTACACACAATATCTAATTTAAATTAGTTCTTTAATTTCGGCTTTCTAAGTGACATATAATGTTTAAGAATGCAGAAGATATTATGCTGATTCTTTGAAGAGATGCTGCTGGGTAAACTGCAATCTAATCTTAATTGCTCGGTATCTTCCTTCAGGAATGTACCGACAATAGATTTCTGATAACATGATCGATATTTAAGCCTGTAGAAAACAATAGAAGAAATCATAAAAGCTATATATACAAAAAATATCAAAGAATTATGTCACAGTTATATGAATCTACCCAAATAAGTGTCGCATAACTCTACGAAAGATGTGAAATCGTGTTAACTTTCATCGGTTGTCTTTTGAAAACGCCGCGACAAATTCCGTGGAAGGTACGAAAAAGAAACAACATTAAACTAAGAATCCCGCTGATTTAATTCAAAAAGGAAGATAGCGGGAAAAGAAATCGATGGTTTGTAAATGAACTCAAGACAGTGATGTCCGTATCAGAAATGGTAGGGCTATCACATAGCTACAATTTCTAAAATACAAGTGGCACTTTCCATTAGAGTTCGGTTTCCTTACGCAGTTTCAGCTTGCAATCGCAGATTCTAGGTATTATTGTTCAGATAGAGAATACGATATTGATTGTGTGCATACTGTGCAATTTAATTCCCAAAAATACGCAAGTGTAAATGATGCGGAATTCCTCTTAAAAAGTTTCCAGTTTCAAACATCGTGTTCTTACATTGTACTATTATTCCTACGACAATGAAACTACATCTGTGCATCTAACTGTAATGGTTTAAAAGTTTTGATAGAATGTAGGAAACGGAACAACAAAAATAACTGAATTGATGAGGGAAAATAATTTCTCACAAACTTTTATTCTGCGCATTTTTAAATTTTTTTTTCATAACTAGTTAGTTCTAAGACTATTCTATGAAGTTACTTCTTCAGGTATTGAAAAGAAACTGCACAATTTATAAGAGGTAAGTTATCTTAATTCTTTAGATTATCATCTTGCTTTTTATCTCAAACTAGAATTGATTCTGACACACACACACACACACATATATCTATTTCTGAATAGCTTTTTCTTGCGCAATGTTTACACCATCCCTATTCTTGACAATTTTCTTCTTTCAGTACCTCCATTTTATTTCTTTTCCTTGCGATTCAATTTATGAAATTTTAAATATTCTAAAGTAGGGTTCTATTACAGCGCTTTTCTTTATATGCCCGATACTAAAGCAAGAAGTATTTTTTGAACCAGAAATAAAAGAATAGCTAAATAAAATTTGATCAGAAGAAATGAAATATTATAACATGTTATCTGGAAGAGGGTACAGTACAGGCAGAAGCAATTCCAGCACCTATGTTAATACCACATGTTATTGAGGTATTGCTGAACCTACTAAAACTGTTAAGCTTCAGCTCCATTTTGAGGGAGCGGTCCGAGGGTCTCCGTCCCCTCTTCCTCTACCATCAACTTCTCTAGAGGCCTTTTGACTTGTCGTGTATTTTCAGCACCCCCTTGTTGCACAAACACTTTGCGCTTGCAAACATCCATGTCTCCTCCGAGATTCGAATCCAGGCTCATCAGCACGGCAGTCAGTGTCACTAACCATTATGCTGACTGGGCGGCGAGACAGAAGCGTAGAAAAAGTGTTAAAATTGTGTGGAAAGAAAGATAATCTCAAGGCATCTCACAAATAAACTTTAAAAAAAGTGAAATTTCTACGTAATGCAAGCATAAATTTAAACATTTGCTAATGTAATATGCAACATTTTTAAATTAATAAAAATTACATATTTTGGTTTTTCCCTCCTCAGATTTTCGGGTAACATTAAAATCTGCATAATTATCCGAGGAAAAAATTAATGCTGCTTGGTTAGTTAATTTTATTATGGCGATGAATATTACTAAGAAGAAAAAAAGAAAGCAAAGCATGTCAGTGTAATTTTTTAAATTAGGTAAAATTTAAGTGAATATTGGCAGATCGAATATCATTGTTTCATGGATAAAATGTAATTGTATATGGGAAAATGCCCACACAAGTCTGAAATATGTATAACATAAATTGTTCAAAAGAGTGAAATTGTTCAATAATGAAAATCATACACCCAAATAAAATTCGAATATTTTTCGATTAGTTTATGATTATTTTTAGCTTTTTTATATCGCTGATATCTCTGACGACTGGGAAACTGATTTCCACTGTTTGTAGATTTCTTGGTAATCTATTTTTCTTTTCATTTTTTGCTTGTTTAGTTAAAAGAAATTCTGATTCATATTAAAATAATGCAGAAAATTACAATATCGCCCACCAACGGCCGAGCGGCAAACCTTGTGAACACTGGTAGTTCGATCAAGGGCGCGAGTGCCGGTTAACGGGCTGGCTACATGGGCGGAATCATGGTTTTGCCTATGTGCAACGTGGATACGAGCCAGTTTCTCTTAAAAAGTCCTCTACGAGTATTCCCTCCGTTTTTGCGTAGAGCCAAATGGCGAAGCACGTAATAAATAAAAAAGTATGACACTGTTAAATAAATTCTATTAGTACTATCAGGTAAATTTAAACTAAGGAGACTAATTATAACGGCATACACTCTTACTAAGAGGTTGATTTGTTATCTTACTTGCAGACTTTTCAAAAGTTTTAATTAAATAATGTATCACGCACGTAATTTTAGAGCTTCGCTTCTATATGAAATATTAAAAAGAATACAGGTTACAAAAGAGGCACAATTAATATAACAATTAAAATAAAAATTCTGCTTTTCTTCATTTATTTAGTTCTTTGCTTGCTCATTAATCAATTGTATTATTCATGAAATCTAATACATAGAAGACAAAAAAAATTAAACAAATGTTTGCGGGTAATGCAGATTGTCCCTTAATTTGAAACCCAACAAAAATATTAATGAACAAAAGCTTTCCTTTTTAAATTACTTCAGTTAATCAATGCTTGCATGGATAAGATT